TAAGCCTGACTCCCACTTCGGGGCCTGCGAGCTGGCTCACCTCGTGACAGCGTTCCATGTCGGCGATGAGAGGGCGCAACTTTTGGAATTCCTCGTCCATCTTGCGGAATTGGACCAACTGCTGTTCCAGCGGCTGTTTATTTTGGGCTGTCTGGGCGGCGTACAGGCTGTCTAGGCTGCGCTCCAACCAGGGACCCAGTTTGTTGGCCTGTGTAGTGAACTGCTGGCGCAGTCTTTCATGCAGCTGCTGTCGGGCCAGTTCCTTCTCCAGGGCAGCGTCACGAAGCGGTACCAGTTGCATCACCTGGCCCCATCTGTCATGCAGGGTCTAGAGACGAAAGAAGTCAAAAAAATGAATTCTTAGATTCCTATATTTTGTTGAATCATCAAGTGTGAAATTTGTGGAAAAAAGAATGTTTGTCAACATTTCATCAATGAAGAAATACGTTTATTTAGCAAAGTAGGCGGCCCCTATTGTCATTCATCATTTCCGTGACTGCTTGTTCAGTCCGATGGGGTAAAAGCCTGGTAATTGAGAGCTACTGAAATCCTGGTAGGCCTGTTTTATAGCATTGTCGGAGTTACATTATCTCCCTATGAGGCAACAGTAGTTTAAGTAATGCACCTCATAAACCCCTCGTCCCAGCATTTTTTTCTACGGAAACGGTGGTTATACGGGGTTTTATAAATGGGGAACTAGGATAGGGAGCGGAATATACTTTAGTAATTACTATATGCATTTTATTTTATTGTATTTGGTATATTGCGCAGACTACACAATTTATTGGATCCATAATTTTATGTTGCATTAGCGATAATTCACGTGCCCTTTGAAATAAATGTGACTCAAGGGTGAACTTAAACTCGTCATCATAGACCGTTGATTCTGGCCGACTGCATGGCTCACTCATGAGCTCAAATTTACCAGAACAAAATTTCGTAAGCCAATTTTATACTGTTAACTGTGTAGTAATTTTAGGGCAAAATATTCCAAATCTGCCTGCGAGGCTGTATTTTCACACAAGGACTCATATTTCATAATTGTGCAAACTTCCAAAGCTACCTTTACATAAGAAAGAGAAAGTGGCTTTTGTAATCTTCTTTACAAGGCGAAATGATTCAATAAGCGAAAACACATATAAAAAAAAACCGAGGAATGCCAAAATGTGATATGGGCCTACAATAAGATGTTGCCAAAGTTGACCATATGCCTCAATAGATATATCATGCTTGATGACCCAATAGTAAAATCGGTTGAGTATACTCGTGAGATGTTCACATAACTTGTTTCGAAGACTTTACGTTCATAGGCCCAGTGATTTGGAACAGAAGATGATGCGGAACGCCTCAACCGCCTCTATCTCAAAGGACAGAATTCCTGGGCCTAGTGGTGAAATATGGTAAACATTGCGGCTGAAGTCTATAGTTCACATATTTGTCGAGTAGGCAAAAGTACGTAGGACGATTGCATTCGAGATCGGGTGAGTTGAATTTCCTAATTGCCAGTTATGTGATCTCGGATGCCCCGGGGGCCAGCTTTTGAGATAACGTTATATTTATGAGCATTTGCAAGGTGACCTATTTGCGTAGGGAGCGTTCCCTGACCAGCTAGTCCAGACTCCACCCCGGACTGCGAATGGGTGTCTTTAAGCGGTTTGGGTAAATTGCAACACGCCTGGGGTAGGAATCAACCGCGGAACCAGAGATAACCTTGCGAAAATATCTAGGAAGTATACACATTCGCGTGCCATAACTCCAACTCTATCCCCACACGCTCTAAACCAAACCGTGACTTTAACCTCAACCCTAACTGTAACTATAACCCTAACACTAAGCTTACCCTTGCTGCGGACGGCCATTAATGCTGTTCCCTGTCCCAGCGCTCGCTGCGTCAACGTCATGTGTCTTCGCAGGCGGCTGTTCCACTCGCTGACCTGAAGACCACTTGACCGATATTCAGTCACGCATACACCCGCGTCCAAATAAGCACGCCTGCCTAAGGGCCACTTGAATCGGCCGATGCAGCAAAGACCTCCACAGACGACATTCCTCGGGCAAATTGCAACACACCAATAGCAAACCACTTGAAATCGCTTGACAATCCTACTTAAGCAGCGGCCGCCACTGTCTCATTCTCTCTCAGGTCTGGCTGGACGCAGTCAGGACAAGCCCTGGCCTCGCCAGTGGTCACTGTTGCCTGAGACAGCAACAGGGAGTTCTGTATACAATAAACCACTCCTTTTATTGACTTCTGTCTTGTAACTTCCAACCTGGGGTTTCGACCTGATGATTGTAGTGATCCGAGTACAAATACTACTCAGACCCCTACACCCTCAAACATGACTTTCACCTCAACGCTTATGTCAACAATCCAAGACTCTAACCCCACCTCTCGGCCCTAGCTCGAGCCCCAATATACAACGGGAGGAGTGCGGCCCGTAACGCTATCACTGAGAGCCCCCCTAAAATAATTAACCCTAACCTAAGGACAAATTTGCGCAGGGCTCCCTAAATGGGGGAGGGGTGAAATGTTTATTCACATGCCTTCTCCAAGTCTGTTTTTCATCATTTAAAGGACAACAAATAGTTTTTTTTAATGAGACTGTTACTAAATTAATAGAACGCTAGGGTGCAAGAAAAAATGGACGCCATAGTCAACTTTCAGGTCGTTGCATTCTCGAATTGACGTATAATCGGCTAAGACAGACAAAGAAACTGGCAAAACTGGCAACTCTAGCCGGCCGTTTTCAGTAATTTGGTTCTGATTGGTTGTTCTGTCAGCGTCTGCGAGGACTTTCGTTTCAGGCTTCAGACCTAAAAGTAACCTTCGTACTCTGACCTGAAAGTAGGCAGCATGGGCGGACGTCACTTCTGACAGAAAAAGAAACAGCAAGCCGTGAACCCACGACTACGCTGGTTGAGCGTTAACCTCAAAGCCCAAGTGAACGGGGGCTCAGCTCACTGGTGCTCCGGTCTGAGGATGCGGTTTCGTCGTCTGACGGTAGAAAAGCAAACTCTGGCTGACAATCCCAGTATTCTTTGTCCTCCCGAGTGACATTTTTAGAAGTTCTCTCGATAAAAATTACTTAAATGGATTCCTATACAGGACACGGGAATAGTAACGCCCAGGAAGTGTAAATATTCCCATGTCCTAACCCTAATACTTACCTACATTGTAGGTTCTTATTTTAACCTTAATCCCACTCTAAATCCTAACATTGCAAGTAACATTAACCCTAATCTAACCCCTTAACCTAGCTCTAAGCTACCTTAACACTTACCTTAACCGGAACCCTAATACTACCTCTACATCTAACCCCTTTTGCCTTGCAATTAAGCGCATCTCTTCCAGACGGTTCCTGCTCCCATACACTGCTCAGGGGACCATACAAGTTATCCTTACAATTCCCTTCTGCTGCTCCTCACTGTTTGCCTACTTCGCAAAGAGCCTTTATTAGCGTCAAAAACCTATGCTTCTTGAAAATGATAGGAAAATTATTGATTAGAACACGATCAAGATTATATTTCAAATCTGAAATTGCACCTTCTGGATCACATGACAAAGCCACAGGGCAACTAAAAAGAACTCCATCAGATGTTTACTTAAAAGTGTGCAAGTTTGTACAAAAGTTGAAATTCGCCTATCGTTTCGACACATAGTTCCCCCGCGGGAAGAAGACCATATTTTCAGATAAAAATTAAGTAAAGTGTGCTGCTGCTCACCTCTCAACAAAATTAAGTCGTGAAACGTTAAATTCAAATGACAGGACAAATTTAAAATGCGGAAAATTAGCCAATGATACTTTCTTCCACAGCGTACACGAGAATACTTTCTTAGGGAAACTGCATATTTCTAGCTGTCCTGACAATTCATACAACAAGTACTTGAAATGAGTTCTGGGATACAAAATGAAAACCGCGTCATGCATTACGCTAAAAAACACTAATGAGGTCTTCCAAAAATGGTTGTACGCTCTAATAACGTTTTTTAATTTTTTGAAAAGTGAGGTTTATAGAGGCAGCACCACGTACATCTACAGCCATTTCGAAAAATTAAGGTGACTAAGATATAAGTGACTTAATGCATTGGGCGTTGATATCCTGACTGCGGTTGTACTCGGATATGGTTGGCTAATGACGGCTACTAAGCCGCAAATGGCAATTCCAGTCCTAATTGGCTTTGTCGATAATGTTATTCTAAGGTAGAAGTCTGAGTTTTCGTGGGAGCAGGGTGCATGGACATTCGAAAAGTGTCGAAAGCCTGCGTTCTGAAGATAGGCGGGATTGCGACATTTTACAACTGTCATGCAGAGGAGGAAGCGATCTCTCGTTTAGTTACCAAATGCAATGAGACCGCAATCTATTATCAACTAGCGTTGGACAATGGTCACCAATTTAATGCCGAATTTATCCGTTAAGTTTTCGGACTGGTAGGTCGCGAAAATTGCAATGCTGCGGCGCTGAATATACGGTCATTTTCGAATGAACCATCAGGTGTGGGCCATTATAAATCACCGCAGCGCAACGAATGCCTGTGTTTTTACAAACTATATGTTTAATTGCGTTCCGTTCATCGACCTCCCTAAAGTTAAGCCGATGGATTGAGGTCACCGAAGTAACTGGAGGCACGTATAAAACACCTTGTCGCAATCTTGTTAGCAGACTCTTCAACCACCAATGGAATACCTGGTGGCATCTCTCGCACTTCGGCGACGTTTCCGGCGGCCTTAGCAAACCCCCACCCCCTGTTGGACCTTCCCCAACAGCGGACTTTTCTTCCTTAAAATCCCCCGTTGAACCCTCCCCCCAAGAGCGACAGCCTTTTCTCCTAACACCCCTCCCACTCAATTAGGCCCTCTACCCAAGAGCGAAAGTGTTTTCTCCTAAAAAATCCCAATGAGTTTTTTGCACTGTCTGCTCTTTTCAACTATGTTCCAATCATGTCCTTTGGCCTAGCCACTGAATTGAGATAATTTTTTTCCTGATACCATAGAACATATGTACAAATAGGGCATTTAAAGGTTACCCATCTACATCTCCCTCAAATACACTGATGCTGATACTACTTGAAACGCTGAAATATGGCTTAAGTTAAAAAAGCATA